AAAAAAMAMCCCAGGTAATTTGTTGTGCCAYATTTGGAGTATGGCCACAATGGTGTGATCCATTTATAAAGTACAAGTAACACAAAAAAAATGTATAGGCTAAAGCCTTATCATTTATAAACTATAATGAGGGATGCACTTCAGAAAGACACACCTTTAAGTCATTTTTAAAAATCAAGAACTTTTTATGCCCTGATGATAAAAGCATAACAAATGACACCTTGTTCAGAAATCAGGTAATTCTTCCAAATTTTTTAGTAGCCTGATAAAAGAATTTTCGGTGCAACCAATTTGCCTTTATTTACCCACAATAAAATGATATGCATTTAACAAACCAGAGTTTAGGTCTATCATCCTGATTGTTACAGGACATTTGTTTCAGCTTACATTGAATTGAAATATTAATGAAAACTAATGTTATTAAATAGGGAGTCACATATGAACTTTTGATACCATATACAGTATGTTCGAATAGGACAGTGAGGAAGAGTAGAACTGGCTGTAAAACTGAGGAAAATTAGCAATGTCATGCTGACAAGCACAGCTCGCCATTATTTTTGTGTCTGTACATGTCAGCCCTACAACAGTGACAAAACACTTACTGGATCTCAGGCAGACACTATTTTACCAAATAAATACTCATCTTCCAGAAACAAGAACTGATATGAAACTTAATGCTACTTTAAATAAAGTCATTGCATTGTATTCATTAGCAAGTCTCTCAAAGAATAAATCTTTATAAAGGAGTTGGTGAAAGCAGAGTAGTTTACTGAATGGATAAGAAAAGGTGAAATTAACAAATCTGTACTACTTTACAGCTATAAGCAGAAATTTGAACCGCTGACTATGTTTGGTCTAGCTGCCAGGAGTGTACTTATTCTGCCAAAACAAAACAAAAAAAGGACATTATGTTCTAAATTCACACACAATAAACATCAGCTTTGTAAACACCTTCACAAACATGGCATCACAAAAACAAGTTTTACTGCATTTGCCAAGCTAGTACACAGTTGAAAGGGTGTACCTCAGTTTGTCTCATGGATCTATGAAAACAAAATTGTGAAAATATGACAAATACTGAAAAATTACAATAAACCTGTTACAATACATTACAGAAATGCATGAATAAAATCCTTTTACAAATTCTTTAACAAGAAATGCTAACAAGTGTGTCCTGTGTGCATGTGGCAACCCTACCTGCAATATGCCATAATTCACCAAAGCTGTCTTTATCATTGCATCTCAAATTAAAGATGAAAGCCAAATCTTTTAGTGTCCTGACTGTACTAGAACAACATTTACTAAGAAGCAATTGTTATTTGACATAAAAATCTCACAATTACATAGTATAGCAGGTAATAGAAAATAAAACCGTGACAAAAATATTTAAATGTCAGATAAKCTGCTGTTGGTGGACAAGTCAAACTTAGCCTTAGCTTTCCCATACATATAAACAGTTTCATCTGCTACACTTCCTTTTTTTAATAAATAATATCACTCACACACCATCAGTATTGGCATCTTCCAAACACCCAACCAGCTGTGTTTGCAGTCACAAAGTGCTAAATTAAGCACTACAGAAATTCTTAAATACAAAAAAGTTAGAATGTGGTCATTGATGTGTAAAAAGAGGAAGTGCCATTAGCCATTTTCTTAAAGGAACAGTGTGTAGGATTTTTTTCAATTATTTTAGCCGAAATTGAGATAATCACTAATGACAATAAAAAACATTTCTAATCATTGCAGACAAAGACCTTGTTTTATTATTTTTGCCTTACAAAAAGCTGTTTATATCTCCATGGTCGCAGGTCGCCCTACAGGCAGCCGCCATCTTGCACCGCCATCTTGTCTACGAAGGCTCATGAAGGCCAAACTGCGGTGGCGGTGTCAAAAACAGTTTTAGTTATAATACTATAAACGTAATATTTGTTGTCTGTCATTGTAGCTGGGATCATTTTACTTATTAAAGCTCATAATCTTACCACTTGAAACATCACTAGCCCTGAAGCTGCTGGTAGACATCGCGGTTGGAATTATGAAAGGTTTTTGACACCTGAGAGACACCGTAGCAACTCCTTTGTGTTTGGAAGCGGGGGGTGGGGGTGGGGGGAGGACCAGGGAGGATGATTCAACCACTAGATGTCGCTGAAAACAACAAATCCTACACACTGTGCYTTTAATTAGCTTCTGATTGCACACCTAAATATGATAGTTCTAAAGGACACAGAATGATCACAGTCCACGTTCACTTGTGTTCTCCTCCTTTCTGCTCTTCATGGGACCTATAACGTACTGTGTGAACATCGAGTACAGGACTCCTAGAAAACAAACAAAAAAAAAATAAGTTACATGGAGACTCTTGCAGCTATTTAASAACAATTCAGAAACAGATGCAGCTCAGACTTTATAAATGACRACATCAAGTTTTCTGTAATACAGACACTTGCAGTAGTTTTAGTCTAAATTAAAACATAAGCAACAAAACTGTGCACCTAACCATACTGTAGTCTCAGACACCAGGGGGAGCACAATTAAATAATCGTCTCAGTAGTACCATTCAGAACCTGTTCAGGAGCATTTCAGGAAAACTACAACGAACGCATTCTGGAATAAGAAAAAAAAAAGTATCTACTGTACTCAGCAATACTGTATGTGGACTCCTTCTAAAGAGATTAGAAAATCTAAGACTGATTTGAACCTGATCAGTCTAAACAATACAACTCATCTGCAAACATATCAAAAATAAATCTCTGAAATGTAGATTTTGTGTGTGAAAATTAAAAATGTTTAAAAACCTGAATAAATGAATATTAAACAGTCATTTTATCAAATAAAATGGTGTAGCTATTATTTGGGCAGAGTGGCACACATCACCATCACATGATCTATTTTTTTCTGATATTGTGCTCAAACCACAACCTGACACAACTGAGATTTTAGGCTAACATTCTTCACGGTTTATTTTGAAATTCAATTAAATAGCTAGCTCATTTTATGAAAAAACAGAAGAAAACTGTCTTAAATTTTTTATATATATTTTGTCTGCAAAGTCAAACTGTTGTCAAGTTGGAGATCAGGAAGCTGCAGTTTGTTACACTGCTGTATTTTTTTTTTTTTTTTTCCCTTTCTCGGTTTCCATTTGTTGTGTCACCCAGCCGTCTGGTTCTCTCCTGTGTATTATCGATAACTGTGTGAAATAACCGCAAAAAGGGAATGTGTGGAAGAGCGTGAACCGGTTTGGGTGTAATTAGATGCAACTGAATGTCACTGATGTGAAACAACCAGAAGGTACAGTCCTGTTTGTCTTTATGGTGACGAAGCCCACGGCTCATGCTATTGGCCCTGAAGACACAGTTTCACCACAGATGTGAGCAGAATTCAACAGGAGGGGGTCGACTTTCAGTGTTGTGTTTGCAAGCAGCCCAAAAAAAAAAAAAAAAAAACCTAAAAAATAAAAAAAATAAACTGTGGCATGCTTTTATGTCTGAGAAAATCTTAAAATACACACAGCTGTAGATATGTGAAGTCAACCAGTCAGGATGACACAGCAGTTTTGCTGAGGCCCAGATAACCAACGCCTGAATTAATCCATGGCTGTCATCAATGGAGCAAACATCTGTATGACCTTCATTTCTGCTGTTTTAGTGTTTTAGCTTTCTGAATCCATAACATCCAGCACATTAATGAAAACCTGAAAGGGTCGGTTAAAGAGTAACTTACCCAAAATTAACTTGTTTTAGCTGATAAACTGTCTATAATGTGTCTAAAATGTTATATAGAACTGTTTCTGTGCTAATTTTGATGTTTTTGTGTGTATTTGTTCAAATCTGTAATATTTGGTCTAAAAACGTCTTTTTGCTGCTCATATGGGTGGAGCAGTGGTACTGCAGACTAATTTGCATATTGGTTAACGGCTCTCCGCGGTGACGTGCTTCTGCACAGTTACTTCACAGCGGCTGTGTTCTGGTATAAAAGCCTCTCTCTAAGAC